GTGTGCAGGGGTTTGCAAGTCGGTAAATTGCTGTAAGGGCAGCCTGACACTGAGGGCGGGGAGCGAGGCTAGGATTGTGCCCCCTTGCCTCCTAGCCCCTCAAACATTGTTGCAGCCCCTGATACTGAGAGACTCCGCCCTGCTCCTTGGGAAGCAGCCATATTAGAGCCAGGAATTTATTTTTAGCAGAGAGTGGGAGGGGGCTGAGGAAACACTACCTCCCCTTTCTATTACCCCTTCCCTTCCCCCTTCCCAGTCGACTTCTAGCTCTTAACACTCGTGGCTTCCTGGCCAGCCAGCCCCAGTCCCTCCCCCATGCCTCTTCTTTTGCCTAGATACCGGTGCTAGGAGATGTAACAGAAAGATACAGCTACAAGTATACCCCCCCATACCTAATTACACATCCATGATGACGCATATCCACACAAAAATCGCAAGTATACACTCACACAACCACACCCAATTACACACATCACCACTAATACACGCATGCACAATCACACATCCACACCTAGTTACACATACTCTAACAACCCCATGGCACAGACATACAAACCCTCTTCTCAACCCAGGCTCCCCAGGTCTTCCCATCTGCAGGCTCCCTTATTGACCATCTCTTCTTGCATTGAAACACAAGGACCAAACAGTTCAGAAGAAACCATTTTATTATTTTTCCCAAAGAAAAAAGCTATATAAATATTAGAGTATAAAACTTGCGGTGTATGGGTGGGGAGCTACGTGGCTATTTGAGGGAAGCTTCTATAGAAGGGGCACAGAGGTCAGTACTGGGCTGGGAGGGGGAGCTGTAGCACACAGACACAGCATAAAGCACAGCACAGGACAGAGCGGGAGCAGACAGAGATAAAGCCCCAGTACTGCTATCCACTCGTGGTCACGGAAGCAAGCACACAGCACTAGCTACACACAGGTTACTCTACACCAGCTCAAAGAATGTGGTCAGGGTCACTAGTCACTACACTAAAGAGTGGTGAAATGTGGGAGGGTCTCCTTTGTGTAAACAGGACTAGTACAGCCCCAGTTGGGCCAGGGTCAGGACTATATAAAGGTGGAGATCTAAGAAGTGGGAATGGCAAAGTAGAATAAATGGCACCTGAGAGGGTGAGGGAATATGAACTTCATGGGGGACTACAGGAGTGCCCCTCCTCCCTCCCCTGACCATCTGTCTCTCTGCTTCTGGGTCCCTTTCCTAGTGTTTGGGGATAGAGAACATGACATCTGTCTGACTATCATGCAGGAACTTTGGGAGGAGCATGTTTGTGGCTTCCTATACTAGCCAAACTGCCTTGGAACTGGACTACACTGGTCCTGCCTGCTTATCCCGCCTGATAAATAAGAGAGCGTTCATATGCCTGGATCGCCCGTGGCAACTTTGTCTGTGTTCAGATGACCTAGCCTGAATTACACCCCCCTTCCTTACCCCCCCTTACACATAACCACACACATATCCCCATATTCATATATACCAGGCCCAAGAGCTCAATCTTACTTTGATGCCATTTGGTCCCTTTAAATCCCCTATGGCCAAGGTGACATACCCCAGAGCCAGAAGCCTGAGGCTTTGTATCCAGGGGACTGGGTCCAACCCAGGGCTCTCTTGTCCAGGGGCTTGGCTCCATGACAGTCATAGAATATGGGGGCTTGATTAGTTCAGGGAGCCCAACCAGTAACTAGTGGGAGCTGGAAGTAAGAGGACCCACAACCCCTCCTTTAAGACCCTGACCAAAGATTTGTCTTTCTTTCTAGTGGAAAGGTCCCCCCCCTCCCTATACCCTCCCTACTCATCCCAACCATGCCATGCTATTTCCCAACATGCAATGGATTCTTATGCTGAGGGGAGGACAAAGAATAGGAGATGAGGAACTCTGAAGAGAATGGTCCCATAACTCAACCCTGGTCCCTGTTTGCTGGGACCTTGGGCAAAGGCTGAGGGTGGAAGATTTTCCCCAAACCCAGTCCATGTAAAAGTAAGTAGAGAAGTTAAAATATGTTGAAGTTGGTTTAGAAAGTGGGAGTCAGAAGTCATTGTGCTCCCACAACTCTCCACAGGTAGGAGATGAGCACAGTTCTGCCCCTACTCCCCAGATCTTAAGGCCACTCAGCCTAAGGTCTCATAATACCCAAAAGAAGGGGGGAGGTTAGAGGTTTGGGAGTGGGAGACAGACTCAGTCTAACTGATTGGGGGAGGGGGGCAAATGTATAGGGAGCCAAAATGTAACTGGGGCTTCTAAGCTAGGGATGGAGGAAAGGAGGGGGGTTATATATGAATCTCTATATCTGTACTGTTCCCATGGGCACAGCATTTGTATTGGGGACTCCTGGCAGTACCCCCTTTGCATATTCAATCCCTTTGGAGGCACAGAAGAGGGTATTCACAGGGCACTTATTTGTGTTTCCCAAGAGGGAAGGGTCACCATAGCTCCCACCAGCAGCCTGAGGGTGATCCCCTACATTGTGAGGGTTCAGGGAACTGGAGGGAAGCTAGGTCTGTGGGAAGGGTTTGCCCTGTGGCCCTGTGCTTGGGACCTAATGCTGACCCTACTTCTTCTCCTTCTTGCCAGATTTCTTCTTGTTTCCATTGCCACCTGCAGCGGCCTTGCCATCTCTCTTCCCAGCGGCATTGGCCAAGGTGGCAGTGCTGCCCGGGATGTATACGTTCTGCCTATAGTCAGGCACATGCTGCAGGGTGAACTGGGGCCCATAGCGGGCACTCAGCCCCATGGTGCCTGCACCACCGCCAAGGGTCGAACTTCCATCAGCAGCTTCTGAAGAGAGAAAAGGGGAGAATCAGAAATGTGATTTAGGGAGCCACTGGAACCTTCCAATGTGTTGACTGCCCCCAACCCATAGCCCCTGGCCCACAACTCTGGGAAGTAAAAGCCACTGGAGCGTCTTCCTCTTTAAAATGAGAGGGCTGGACTAGATCATTGGGAGAGATATACATCTATCACAAAGTAGAGTGTTAGACTTAGAGCCAGACCTGGGTTTATCTGCAGCTAGGTGAAGTGGATAGATAGAGCCCTGGGCCTGGAGTCAGGAAGACCTGAATTCAAATGTGCACTCAGGTACTTACTACCCTGTGCAACCCTGGGCAAATCACTTAACCTCTGCCTACCTCAGTTTACTCAACTGTAAAATGGTGATAATAGCACTTAATTCCCAAAGTTGTTATGGGGGTTAATGAGATATTTGTAAAGCTTTTAGCAAACTGCCTGGCATATATTAAATGCTCTATAAATCCTTTTTTTCTCCGTTTCTTAATCCTGACATCTCCCCTCAAGAGATTATGAAATTATGAGAGAACAGAACCTAGGAGTCCTAACTCTCACATCCTTCCAGTTTGCTCTCCCTCGTTCCACTGGTGACTTCTGAGTCGTCCAGTGCTGTGAAGGTTAAACGAATAGAAAGGACTGGTCAAAGAAAGGGGGCGGAGGAAGAGGAGAGCCTCACTTACTAGCCTCTCTCCTCCCAAACATGAAAAGGGATAAGGATAGTGACTAAGGCTGGAGAGGTTGAGTAATCTTGGGACACAGACCAGGGATTGGGAAATAAAGACAAGAGAGGTTTCCAAAAGGAACCTGCTCCAGATGAGGAGGGGAACGGAGACATTCCTTGCCCCTTTTCTCCCCAGCCTCAGTTCATTATTCTCTGAGCCCCAGGTTTGGAAAACCCTTTTAGGCTTACCAACCCTCTGCCCCTCCCCTCCCCCCAATCCTTCCCAAGAATGGAGAGGAGATGTCTGGAAAAAACCAGTTGCTCTCTTTCTTTCCTTAAGATGGCCCCCTCTCTCTTCCTTCCACCCCCTTCCTCTTTTCCTTTCATTCTGACATTGCTTGTTTTTCCTAATTAGCTCAGCCTGGGAGCCTAGCCTGGCCCCCTAGCTCCACCTCCTCCCTTCCTCCCCTCCAGCAGCCTCTTCTAGCCTTGGAATGTATGTGTGTGTGAGGGGGAGGGGGGAAGGGTTTGGCAATACACAGCAAACTGAGCTGTGCTTCTCTGGAGGGCCAAATCTCCAGAGTGATTTATGAAATAGAGAAGCCAGAGGAAACGAGAGAGACAGACAGAGATAGAGACAGAGAGACAAAGACAGAGAGAGAGAGACAGAGGCAGAGACAGAAAACCAGAAAGACAGAGAAATGGAGATAGAAAGACAGAGACAGAGGCAGAGTGAGACAGAAACAGGCAAATAGAGACAAATAGACGCTCACAAACAGTGAAAGCCAGAGGGCCAGAGAAAAAACACAAGCAGAGACAGACCCAAGATCTGAGTTGGGGGAGGGGTGTAATGACAACCCCACCCTGCTTTGGAAATCTAGATCTTCACAATTTTCCATAGACCTCTCTCCTTCCCTCCAAGAAAAGTCCATTGTGGGTGAGGAGTAGCACCTTTACTTTATAAGAAGGGAAACTGAGACACATGGAATAATAGAAAGAACCCTGGATTTTAGTCAGAAGTCCTGGGTTTGAGCCCTGACTCTGCCAAGTATTAACTTGTGACTCTGGGCAAGTCATTTCACCTCCATTTCTTCATCAATAAAATGAGAAGGTTGTACTTGATCTTGATAACTCAATATTCAGCAATTCTTTTTTTTTTATGTGCATGTCTTTTTTTTTCATTACCACTTACTGGATTTATTAATATTC